ATTTGAACGAAAACAGCGCACCCGCGCAGCGCGGCTGACACAGAATAGCGTACGCAGTTTGCGTTCAGCGGATGTTCTCCAAAATGGTGATGCGGAGAGATACAGAGGAGACGAATTGTTGAATAAAGTCGTTATTTTTGTTTTCTTCGCATACAAAAAGTATTCTCGTCACTTCATAACGTTACGGTTGGACCACTGATGGCAGATGGACTATTCTGACGATGTCGTTCATACTTTTCTGGACCTTGACAGTGTAATTTACTTGGCAGTCAGTCGGACAGTCAGAAGCTTCCCGGTTTTCATCCAAAATATCTTAAATTGTGTTCCGAAGACGAACAAAGCTTTTACGGGTTTGGAACGACATGGGGGGTGGGGGTGGGTAGGTGATTAATGACAACATTTTCATTTTGGGGTGGAGTAACCCTTTAAATCACTCACTGTATTGACAGCATTTTCATATACACCTTAAACACAATATGCGTTTTCATGAGTTTTTGTTTTTAAACAGAAGCAGAAACACAGTGAGCAGCAAAATAGATTGATAATTTTGCTAAAACACTGCAGAAAACAACAATGCTGCAAATATAGTTATTTTTACCTATCATACTCCGACCGTTCAAACCAGGTTTGAGGCAGGTTTTTTCATGTACATTTAGCATTATTAATCAGTATGTTAAGAGCATTTTAAAAATAAACATATAATTGTTAAAATTAGGGAAATTATTTGTAGATGGCAAGGAAAGACAACATAAACATTGAAATTACAAGTTAACTTTGTTTTCTGTTCATGATGAGAGCGTTTTGATAATGTTTGTTTTAAGCAAAATATAAAAATACTCCAGACTTCAAGAGGAAAACTCTGAACCCCCATACAGTATCTCTTCTGTCACATGGCCTTCTGCCTTATGTATCTAACCATAAAAAATAATAATAGCCTGATAAAACATCTGATGTTATCTTTTAATGATCATATCTAATTGGGCTCAACTGATTATTTTTATTTTTTACAGACCAGACCTCTTGGAACTTTAATTGAATACCCCTTCATATACCATCGTATTTACATAGTATTCCAAGCTAATTTAAAGAATATGTTTTAACATGGTAATATTATGGTACTTCTTTGTCAAATGTCCCTTTTAATTCCCTAAACCAACCTTTCAGAACAAGTTTTTAAATCCGAATAGACCCTCTTTCAGTGTTTAGTCAGCACTAATGATCAAATACTGCTTGAGGATGATTTTGTAGTGAGAGCTCATGGTATTTGGCTGTACACCTCCAGTGTGTTCTGGGCTCATGTCCAGTCAGGCTCTTTGGCTATCAGACAGACTCAGATCACAGTAGACGTACTTTGTCATTTGGGGGGTGAGCGGGTGTTGACATGTTTGATGTTCACTGTGTATAACCAATATTATCATATTCACAAATTTTAACTGAGTAGTTAATGTTTTACTGGATTTGAAAAAAAAAATTTAATCAATGGATTATTTGTACCATGGAATGGTAGAACAAAATAAAATTGTGGTACTATGTATTATAAACACTTTTTTTTTTTTTTATTGTCACTTAAAACCTAATACTTCATTTTTAATTAAAAACATATATTATCTCTAACCAAATATTAGCTGGTGGCATGAAGCCAGCAGATCCATGTTCACACTATGAGTCTGTTTGAGTCCCTGACTGTAATTGACATTTCTCAGAGGTAACGAAGGTTTAACTGAATAACTAAATTTGTCCAGGTGCGCAGCCGGCACATGACGTCTGCTTTCAAGATGTGAACGCGGCGGGGAATGCCTTTGGAAACTGTGGCAAGGACAGTCATGGCAACTACATGAAGTGTGAGAAAAGGTGAGGTGGTATTTTAATATTTCAACCAGCCATATAAGCAATATGTGGTTTCTGTCAAAGAACTTGCTGACCTGAAGTGAAACGAAATCTGCCATTTCTGCAAATAGTTCTGCAACTAATACATTAAAAAGCTGCAGTAATACCAATATATATATATTTTTTAATTAACAAACTAGTTCAAATAGTTTACAAGGACAGCACTGCAGACTCGGTACTTTTCCGAAGTTAGACTCTTTTTTTTTTCTGCTTATTCATAATTCTCAAAACATTTTTCTAATTGGCTTTCCTCGTGGATGAATTTATGCTGAATCGCTGTAAGAAAAGATGACTAGTGATCTCTCATATCAAATCCCAACAGTGATGCCAAATGTGGTAAGATACAGTGCCACAGTGCTGCCAAGAAACCAAAGGGCACCAATGCTGTGTCCATAGACACCACCATCCGTACAGATGGCATTGAGGTGAAGTGCCGGGGCACATATGTTTACAGCACCCAAGATGGGCAGGGCGATCTTCCAGACCCTGGACTGGTCATGACGGGCACCAAGTGTGGAGAGGGGAAGGCAAGTTTTATTTATTTAGTTATTTGTTTGTTTGTTTGTTTGTATTCAGTCTTTATATTCAATATACAACTCAGATATTTATTAAACAGGATCTGTAGTATTAGGTGAAGATATGTCTCCAAAATAAGTATCTCAATAAAAGCATGTATTTTTTGTTTTGTATTGAAGGGTTGATTTATTCTGTTTTTACTTGCCTTCAGGTGTGCAAAGATCGACAATGTCAGAATGCCTCTTTTACTGAGTTACAAACCTGCATAGCCCGTTGCCATGGGCATGGGGTAAGTGTGTGTGTGTGTGTGTGTGTAAGAACTTTTTGAATTTGAAGATCATGGTAAATTGTACTTAATTTGTCTTCTGGGAAACATGCAAGTATCTTCTGTTGCTTCCGAAGGGCAGTACATTTTGTATGATCTCTCTTATTTTGTTAAGATTATTCACATTTTCACAGATTCTGCAAGGGGTTCCCAAACGTTCGCATGCCACTGTATATTAGGGATGTGCATCTCTAAAACTGAGGCTGATGTGATACACATCTCAATGCATAGCCAACGATACGATACATTAAAGATACATATGAACCAGATGCGATACGATTCACCCCTATTACGATGCAGGGCGATCCGATTTCGATTCGATTCTACACAATGTGATTCAATGCAATATGATGCAATGGAAAAAATATGATGATATGCAAATCAATATGGTACAGATAGTTTCCTTTTATTTCTTTGGTTCATTGTAATTATTTGGTTGAAGATGCAGCTCTACCTCTGCCATGTTAATCTCTATTCTATGTGACTCTAATATCTACATATAAAATATTGGTCACAAATTATTTGTCATTTTCTAAATAATAAAAGTATAGCGCATCTACTAATAAATAAAAATAATAAATAATGTTTTACTGATGCAAATATGTTAGAAACTATATGTTAGGTTTTTTTTTATGCAAGTGCTTCTCCTAAATTATGACTAAATATAGGCTATGTCTTAGTATTCCTTCTCCCTTTGAGTTCCTCTTTAACCCAGACTGACTCATTGTGGATTTCACACCTCTAAATCCTTTAAAACCTCGCTCTGGGTTGCTCATTTCCCGACACATACTGCCTCTAATAAAAACTGACGCTTTTCTTATATTAGCAGAGCTATAGCATTTGATTTGTGTTTTTTCTGGTCAAATAGTTGTAAAAAGCCTCCAAGCCGTATATACTCCAATTCTGTCTTTCCTAATCCCTTTGCCCTCCCTCTGTCTCTCTCTTTTGTCAGTTTTTCTTTTATTTCTTTATGTCTTGCTTATTTACCCATTCGCTTTTCAAAAGGGCAGCCAAATACGACAGGTCTTTGAGGGGAGATTAGAGATTCAGAAACTGCTTTTTTATTATTCATTTGCATTATCATTTGATTCATATTGATCGTATGGTTTAGGCAAGTGTGGATGGAGAATAAAGTGAGTGGTCGTGGTATTTGCACACAGCACATTTTCTCTCCTTTCCACTGTTCCTGTCTTGCCTCTGGGTTAGATTGAAGCATGTAAAATATTCTCTGTTAAAAGAAATTCCATTAAGATGAAAGACGGTATATTCTGTATTTGCCCTATACTTCAAAAGACGTGACAGAAAATGTTCCCTGCAATTGCAGCAATGAAAGTGAGGATAGGTAAATGGCTGTGTGTGATTAAAAAAGTTAAAACTGACTCAAACAAATATATATTAAAACCAAACAAGTTGTTTGTGGTGTAGTTCAACCAAAATGTCGTAAGGTTTGGACATGAGAGTAAGTGAATGATGACAGGATTTCCATTTATCTCTTTAAGGTCAAACAGCAGTGCAAAAGGCGTGTGAAAGTTAAACCCAAACCTTCCCGATGGAAATTCTCATCCACCCTTATTCCAATGTGTGGTGTTGTTTTGCATGCAGGTGTGTAACAGTAATGGGAACTGCCACTGTAAGCGTGGGTGGGCTCCCCCCTTCTGTGAGAAACCAGGACTCGGGGGAAGTGTGGACAGTGGACCTATACAGTATGACAGTGAGTTCACCTTCAGCTTTCAGTGCACATGTTCCTCTGCTCTCACTTCTTTCTCTCCTATTCTTTAATCCATCTTATAGATAGATTTATCTAAGATTTTATCACTCGTGTGCTCTCTCTCCCTCTTTCTCACTTTCCCTTTCTTCCTCACACCTCTTATCAAATGTCACCTTAACCATTAATCTCTACCGTCTAGCTTTTCTTTCCAGAACTCAGGCCAATGATATCTTTGCTTGTTGAAACATTTCAAGAGTAAATCTAGGAATTAATGAATTTATTACTCACTCATTTCATTTACTATATGACTGGATCTGAAAAACCTTTTGTTCTGAATGGAATACTAGAATGCGTCTTAATGCATACTCGGTAAACTGTATTTTAATTATTTATTTTTGTAAATAGAATGTGATACAGTATGTAATATGCTAAATATTTCAATCAATAATATAGTCACATGACCTCATACATACACTACCGATCAAAAGTAAGACTTTTTAAAAAGAAATGAATGCTTTTTTTCAGCTAGTACTTGTTAAAGGGTTAGTTCACCCAAAAATGAAAATTCTGTCATTAATTACTCACCCTCATGTCGTTCCACACCCCTAAGACCTTCGTTCATCTTCAGAACACAAATTAAGATATTTTTGATCAAATCCGATGGCTCAGAGAGGCCTCCATTGACAGCAACGCCACCCAAACTCTCAAGATCCATAAAGGTACTAAAGACGTCGTTAAAACAGTCGACGTGACTACAGTGGTTCTACAATAATTTTATGAAGCGATGAGAATTCTTTTTGTGCGCAAAAACAAAACAAAAATAACGACTTTATTCAACAATCTCTTCTCTTCTGTGTCATTCTCATACGTTGTTTTACGTCCAGCGCTTCCAGGTTCTACGTCAGAACGCCGGCTCATTATTGGACGGCTCCTGCATCAGCATCACACGCATGCATCGCGCTGCTCACATGTGCAGTTTGGCCAATAATGAGCTGGCGTTCGGACGTAGAACACGGAAGCCTTCACTGTGCATACTGCATTAACCGCGTAAGGATAATGACAGGGAAGAGAAGAGATTGCTGAATAAAGTTATTATTTTTGTTTTGTTTTTGCGCACAAAAAGTATTCTCGTCGCTTCATAAAATTATTGTAGCAACACTGTAGTCACGTCGACTGTTTTAATGAAGTCTTTAGTACCTTTATGGATCTTGAAAGTTTGGGTGGCTTTGCTGTCAATGGAGGCTTCTCTGAGCCATCGGATTTGATCAAAAATATCTTTATTTGTGTTCTGAAGATGAACGAAGGTCTTAGGGGTGTGGAACGACATGAGGGTGAGTAATTAATGACAGAATTTTCATTTTTTTGGGTGAACTAACCCTTTAAATTGATTCAGAAGTGACAATAATGACTTCTACTTTGCTTTAAATAAAATAAAATAAAATAGTTGCTGTTCTTTCTATTCAAAGAATCTTGATTAAAAAGTATTATGTTTTCCACAAAAATAAGGAGCACATCCATTTTCAATATTGACAATAATAATAAGTGTTTCATGAGCACCAGATCAGTATTAAAATTATTTATGAAGGATAATGTGACACTGGAGTAATGACAGCTGAAAAATCAGCTTTAGCATCACAGGAATAAATCATATTTTAAATTATATTAAAATAGTAAACAGTTCATTTCAATGTTGGTGATATTTCACAATATGACTCAAATATTTAAATATTGTGTTTTTGCTCAAATAAATGTATAGTCTTGGTGAGCATAAAAGACTTCTTTCAATAACATTATAAAAAGCTCATGATCCCAAACGTTTAAACAGTAGTGTACATGAGAGTGAGGCAATTTGGGGTAAAAATGGCTTAACCTACTCTCTGATCACATAGCGAGTAATGTGAAAATTAAAAGTCACAGTTAATATCCCTTCTTGTACATGAGTCACACTGGAAATAGAAGGTCAAGTTGCATTGCATTGCATTGCAGAAGAGAGTATTCACTGGTTGTGTGCTGCACGTTTTAGAAATGTAGTAGTTCATTTGCGTGTTCTATTCATTTGCTAGATGCTGCTTAAAAGTAGTATACTAAAGAAAAAAGTATGGTAGTTTGCTATTCTGAACGTAGCCATAGACATTATTATGCTACAGGGTGAATGTAGTGCACACAAGATCTATTATTCAGAGTGGCAGATATTTGGCAAGCACTTCTCTTTGTGTTTGCTGTTGACCCTTGTCTAACAGTCGCTGTATGTTCTATATCTGTCCTCAGGTCAGGTGGGATTAGTTGTTGGGCTGCTCTTTGTTTTTCTAGTGCTTCTCCCTGCTGTACTTATTGCCTTCTACTGCATCAAGATAAAAAGCTCCTACTACCACAAGTGGAAAACACAGAGAGAGAAGAGCAAAGCCAGCAGGTATTACTGTAGCAACACACACACACACAGTTATGCAGCGCCTTTACAAAGTGTTCAGACCCTTTTACAGTTTTGTTAAAAAATGTATGCATTTCCATTTACACAAACCACCACAGAAACAATGTGAAAATGGCTTCATAGAAGTTTGAATGGATTAATAGCATAAAGCTAAAATCTCAGACCGTGTATTGAGCTCAGAAGTGTCCTGTTTCTTTTGATCATCTATTGAATTTATTTTTAGTCCCGTTATGCAAATTCATTTGATTGGACATGATTTTAGAAAGGTACACCTGTTTGTATTTGTACACACTGCATGGCAGAGCAAAACCCTAAAAAAAGGTCTTTGAAGTTATGAAAAAAAAACTTTATTAGCTCTTTGAGATTATCCATAAAAAACATGTCTGGGCAGTCAATGTTGCTAGAGGTGCAGTGGCCTTCGGTGTTGTCAGATGGAAGACGTTTTGAGCCATTCATCTTAAAACTGGCTGTTTAGGTAAACTGGCTATTTGGTTCCAGGAGAGACCCACTGAATTCATGGCGTGAGTGAGAGAATAAGTGAGAGAGTGAGCGATTTCGACCGCATTGACTAGTGCCTCCTGTGGCATGCTGAGTGATTCAGCACAATATTATCTTCTTTAGATTCCTAGAAATTAAAGCCACAACAGCATAATGGTTGTTTCCTCAAGCCCATCCGTTTTACTATGTCTCTTGGATAACAAACTGCCTCCATTGCTGGTGCCCTGTGATATATCTAATATCAAAATGCCTTTTTGCAGATTAAAAACTCACACATAAATTAATCCCAAATAAGTGTAAAAATCATATGCTACTCTACATGGATACATCTGTCTATCATTCATTTTGTTAACAGAAATAGACTTTTAAAAGAATAGAATAAAGAGGTGATTTTAACTACAAAGATAGAAAATAGTAGAAAATAATACAGATGGGCTTATCCTTGCTGAGAAATGGATTCAAAACTTTTTTCATCCTATTGCAGCTGGCTGATAGAAGTCATACTTTTGGGAATCTTCCTTTTAAGCAATACAGATGTCACGGCTGTGAGTGGAGTACTTTTATGGAACTGCAGCACAAAATTCAGTTGGAAATCTATCCATTCCCGAGGCTTTGCCACTTTTCAGCTGATTAATGCCATTATAATAGAAGCCATATTTATTCAGGACATATTGGTTTCTCAAAGAATGTCTTCATCGTACCTATATCCAATATCTGAATTCTTCTGCTCAAGGTGCTGCTCATACCACTGACTTGCTAGATTATAAATTTTCAAAAAAAAAAAAATTGGTCAGTCCTTCTTTGATCCATAATGCTTTCCTACTTGATTTGAAACCAAGATACCAAATCTACTTTGAAGAGATGACTTTTCCTAATGCGTTTTGCAGAATGTGTTAGTCACATATTCTTATATATTAAAGGGGTCATATGATGCTATTTTAAAGATCATTATTTTGTGTATTTGGTAAGAACCCCTTCTGTTCATTTACACAATTATGGATATTATCTGGCCCCTTAGATAATATTAACTCAGTGATCCCCCTGCCCTTACCTATAGCTGAGTTGTTTTACTTTTTTTATTGTATTTAATTTTATATATTTATTTTTGTTTATTTCAAACGCTATCAGTCTATGTTTCAAATCTAATCAAGCTATATCAAGGACACATTTTTCTTTGCCAAATTGCTTTCAAACAATTGTTTTGTGATCTGCTTTAAAAGGACTTTTATGAGAAATTAAATGTAGCTGTTCTACAGAGTGCAAGCCAGAGCCCCCTGTCTTTCATCTCAGGCCCTCTAAAAATATGTGATTAGTTCAGCTGTCAGTATCCGCTGAAATCTAATTATGTGATCTCTCTTCACATTTGCTGAAAACAGCAGCTGCAGAGAGATAGCTGAGGTTACTTCACTTTGAATCCTCCCCTTACCAGTCATTAAAAACATTAAAAGTTAGTCAGATTAGGTATGGTATTATCCTTTCTTCTAGTCAGTGGCAGACCAGGTCGTGTTTGGCATGGAGCAGTTCCCCACACACACGGTCTCACATCTGAACTCTCTCAGTTTCAGAAAAATCACAAAATTTAATGCAACCTAATAATTACTGATATACATCTACTGACTAATACTAACAGATGTGATTTGATTTTTTTATTTATTTTTTGTTAAGGTGTCCATTGAGCAAGGTTTCAACTTACACTGTACCAACTCTTGCACTTCAAGCGATGATTCACCCAAAAATGAAAATACTGTCATCATTTTCTAACCCTTGTGTCATTCCAAACATGCATGATTTTCTTTATTTCTTCTGTGTAAGATATTTTAAGAAGTGGCTTTGTTTTTTTGTTTATACAGTGGCAATTCATGTAAGACTTTAAATCCAAGAATATCTCCTGCAGCTTCAAATGGACATGCTTAAATCTGTTTCGCATCAGTGTCAGTTAGGAAAAATCTGTGTAGTATAAAAGCCAAAAAAGCAGAGGGGTTATTGTCAGCAACAGGCTTTAGGATTGGCAGGCAACATGGCGGAGGTTGAATAGAGCCAAATATAGAGTGATGCTTGAAGAAAATCAGCACACAACCTCCGTCAAGAGAAAAGATTCTTCATTCAGTGTCAGAATGACCTGGAGCACAAAGCCAAGATGATCCTGGATTGGCTTTGGGACAAATAATGTCCTTGAGTGTTCCATCTAAAATGACCCCATAGAAATACTGTGGGCAAACTACTCAAAGTTTGAAGGGATCTGCAAGGGCGAATGGGAAAAAAGAATCCTGGTGTGCAAATCAGACCTCCTGCTGTCTTCACTGCCACACAGCATGCACAGCTACACAGTGTCTGAATACTAATGCAAATAATACATTTCAGATTTTTTTCAAACATACATAATAAAAGTTCACTTTGTCCTTTTGGTATATTATGCCAAATACAATAAATAATTCAGTCTATCCTGAGCTATGAATACTCAAGGGGTCTGAATTCTTTCTGATGTCACTCTATGAACATACACGTATGCTCCAAAAATGTTCATTATCCAGTGCACTTTTGAATAACATGCTTAGAAAATGATGGTATTATAATTGTACATGCTGAAAGTCTGTAGTCAATCTTGTGCTTTACAAACTGACAAAAAACGCAATGGTAGTCAATTTCACTTCTAGTCTATTCACTAAATTATTTATGATGTGTTTTCATACGTTTTCAGAAATGAGGGCTCCGTTGAAAAGGGGAAGAATGGACACCTAAACCCTGCTTTCCATCTGAAGGTGGTGGGACCCTCCAACAGAAGTGTTAATCTTAAGGTATGGACACTTTAGTCACAGAGGAGAGAACACTTGTATATATAATCTTTAATACGAATTATACAACACTTTGCATTACATTATACTGTACATATTTTTGGGGTTGGCAAGATGTTTTTTAAGTCTCTTTTGCTCACGAAAGCTACATTTAATTGATCAAAAATACAGTAAAAATAGTAACCGTACTGTGAAATACTATTACAATTTAAAATAAATACAATTTAAAAAGTTATATAAAAAGTTGTATATTAATATCTAAAATGTAATTTATTTCTGTGATGGCAAAGCTATATTTTCAGTAGACATATTTTAGTGGCCCAAAACAGATAACAGAAATAAAAATGCAAGATTTGCTACAAATGAATTTTTCACTTGCATTCATCAGTTTTATGACCCCATTCACCTCTGTCAAGACATTAGTCCTTTGAAGTGCATTTTTTTTCATTTAGAGATTTATGATGGGGTTTGTTTAGTATGTATTATGTGATTTTTTTCAAATCATGTAGTAGCATCACCAATATCTCATCATCACTTTGCTTTTTTTCCTCTTAAGCTACCTCACACCAGCAAGGAGGTGCTTCCTCTGAGGCCAAACCCAGCCTCCAACAGTACTCAGCCAGTTAATATTGTCCGTCCTCTCCGGCCGGCTCCGTCGCCATCCCTGAGCAACATCAAAGGACCTCGACCTCCTCCGCCTATCAGCAAGCCACCCAAATCTGTAGCATCACCCCAGAAACTCAGTCCTCCCAAGAAGCCTCTACCCCTCAACCCTTCACGCTCACCACTGGTGAGAATTCAGTGTACTCATATTCTTTTGGTTTAATCAAAATCACTGTGGGAGCCAAAATAGGTCACAATCTCATCAAATGAAATGCTGCTTGAAACACCTGTTTTAATCACGCCGTCAGAAATCCTGAAGAAAGCACACCTCAAATACTTATTCACTTCTTTTTCCTATCCTCATACAGAAGGTATCAGAACAACAGCCTCGACCCCCGTTCACACCCCCCCAGAGGCCTCTTCCTCTCAGCCCTGCTCGTGGAGCACAGCCCAAACCCTCTGGTGGGGGGCTCATGGTGATGATGCCCCCTTCAGTCGGACCCAAGCCTGTGGGAAAGGTGACTGCTGTTCCCCCTTTAAAGGCATTCCGGTGAGTAAACACATCAAAAGTTCCACAGATGAGCTTAAAAGTAAAATACAGCTGCAGACAGCGATGATGGGCCACTGGTGGCTTTAAAAAAAACAATTCACAGTGGCAACATGCATTTAAAGAGGACTACTTTGAAGTCTTTTGCATGTGTCACACATCCTGCTGCCAGCTGGTGGCGCTGTGACCGTGAACAATCCATGAACATCCATGTGATGAGTCCGCATAACCAAATATACACCAATTTGATCTAAATCAGATAATCAGTCAATCCGATTGAGCTCAATCCAAATTAAATTGTGTGGTGTAGATCTGGCATATTCTGATCAATAAGAAAAAACTAAGCAGATTCAAAAATATTGTCAGGCTGCATATGTTTACCGGACCGCTTTTATAATTTTTTCCTTTTTACATATGTTTATTTACATCTTAAAAACTGGTCAGATGAGGAGACTGAATATTTACTTGCTTATGTAATTGCTTAAAAAAATATATACATACATACATATATACATACTGATGGTACTGTAGCTCCAATAATGCTGTGACTGTGTTGACAGGGTCACTGCGTATGCACTGAAGTTTTGTTAGAATATAAAATGCACATGTGAACGGAAATGTGAATCAGATTGCAAAGTTTAGGGTTCATGTAAACAGAGTTTCAGAATCTAAAATTGGATTACATTCATTTGGCTTAACAAAATTAGAGCATGTAAACATCCCTATTGTCTTGGCATCATGTTGACCAAATTTGGTGACAATCACACAAATCCTCTAGAAGGAGTATTTAGAAATTCAGTGAGACTCTGAGGATTCGACTGTATATGCTGAAAACTGCATTTCATTTTGACAGGGTATCATGTTTATATCATGGTTTTTCACACAAAAAGAAAGGCGCAAGTGGTTTGTTTGAAATGATGGTCTTGGAAAAGCATTCATTTAACAGACTTATCTGTCTTGTCTTGTCTGTCTTTTCCACTCACCATTTGTGACTTATTCTCACCAAAATATGTAAATTGTGACGCCATTAGCTAATTAGCATACTAATTGTAACAGTTGACTGAACAGTTACTCTCCAATAAGAAAGGCAGTCCTAATGAGTGAGAGTCTGTCTGCTCTAATTATTCAATACTTTGTTTTTCTTTGCCAGAGCAAATGGATCAGAGTCAATGTTAGATACAAATAAGCGTGCCGAACAGTGGGGGGTGAGGCGTGCGCTTTGGATATTTTATGGGATTCTTATTCTTTTCAACTCTCTACCTATTCTTGAGTGCAGTAAATATAGGACTGAATTTTTACAACACATCAAACGTTTGGACGGGGTTTAACTCATTTATATACAGTAATAGGTTTTATGGGGAAATACACATGTCCCAATAGAATCTTGTAAGAAGTGAATTTTGCAAGTTTAAATCTTCTTTTCTCTCATCGAGTCTTCACATCAATGCTAGTCCGCTATCAGTTCTCAAAAGCAGCCGTCTAGCACTTATTTTCAGAAATAACTGCACCGATATCCAGGCCTCATTTCTGCTTGTCTCCAGTACTACATGCTCCAATCTAAGAACAACCGAATCTCACTGAGTTTCAGCTTGTGAAGATAAATCTGTTCGTAGCTTCCCAGTGGCGGCGGCAGCTTAGTACTATGTTATGATAAAAATATGAATTCATTTTTAACACATAACAGTGAGACTCTGAGGATTCGACTGTATATGCTGAAAACTGCATTTCATTCTGACAGACTCAGCAGGGTATCATGTTTACATCGTGGTTTTTCACACAAAAAGAAAGGCGTAAGTGGTTTGTTTGAAATGATTGTCAACCTTGGAAAAGCATTCATTTAACAGTGTAAAGTCTTTAAACTGAAGGATCTTGTGAGAAATATGAGGCAAACTGAGATAAGCACGCACTTCCATTCCTGCCTTTACAACAATTTTAACCCTGCAAGGCCTATTTTTTTAATGGAATAGTTTATTGAACCTTTAGACAAAATATAAAATAAAAGCTTTAAAAAAAGTGTTTATATTTTTAGATTTTTAGATTCAGGCTTTAAAGGCTCATATAATATGAATATAGGGAGAATATGGAGCTCACACACTCAAAGTGGAACTCAAGGTTGTTATTTTATATGACCAAAAAGTAAGATGAATTTCGGATATTTCTGCTTGCAGTGTAAATCAGTGAGATTGACAGTACAGCAGACAACTTAAAGTTCTAGTGTATATCTAACCAATGGGGTTTTTTTTTTTTTCAGACCTGTTTCAGGACCCAAACCAATCATAGTTCCATCCACTTTCCGAAAATGACGCTTGCAGGATTAATTTCTTAAAGACTTCAGCCAGCCTATTTGCACTAAATAAGGACCCTTGGCGACTGGTACTATAATGAGCTGTCTCACAAGGGATGGAAGAGCATGGTGCTAGGGCCCTGGATGAGGCCTCGCAAACCGGCGTTCAAATACAGCCGGCACAGCAGAGATGACGTGGTTTTGCATGAAAACATGCAGACTGAGAAAGTTTTGGATAGACTATCACATTGCCAAAACCTTGACTTTTAATCACCTTGCAATTTTTTTGTACTTATTTGTTTTAATATCATGCCTCTGTCTTGTTTACATTTTTTGTTTGACTATCATCTATTTGTCAAGTGCCAAAGATGTTGTTTTAATGCCTTGTTTAATTTGTTGTACTGTGCTGTATGTGATTTTGTGTTTGGTACATAAAATATGTTATACCTTTTTAGACACCATGTTGTTTGGTCGTCCTCACTTTATGACAGACTTTACGTCAGGTCTAACTGTTTATATCAGGTCAAAATCAACGGAGATTTGCAGTGAACAGAGAGTTCTATATGAGAATAATGGAAAAGTTGTGATTAAAAAAATTGATGAATTGTGTCATTTCTGTGTGAAACAAGTGATCTAAACATTCCTAAGTATATCTAAATTGGTAGTGGTATTTTTGTTTGCCAATGATGCCTAAATGAGGAATAAGAATTTTTAAAAATGACTTAAAACATGGTTTCCTGAACAAAGACCACTATGAAAAATAAAGTGCTACTATGAAAAGTAATTAGTCACTAAAGAATTAGTCCATAAACGTGTCTCTGCACAGGAGCCTAAGATTTTGTTCAAATTTCTAAACAGGCTTATTAAAAAAAAAGAAAAAAAAAGATGAATGTGCTTTTCCTGAGAAAAGTGATAATGTCTCTGACAAACTGCTTGCGTATCTTACCAATGCATTCTTTTAAACTCAGCATAACTTGTACTGAGTCACTGTCAATGCATACAGAAATGTTTTTGTGAATCATGAAGTCCTAGTTTTCCTATATTTATAATAGAAACAAACAAAATGAACGTATAATGCATGATTATATGTGAGTCTGGCCTTGAAAAGCATTTCTAAAAACATTTCTTTCTAAAACATATTATATCTGCTTGTGGTTTCAAGCACTCTAATCTGTGCAGTCTTGAGCTCCAGCATATTAAGATATTCAAGTGAAGTGCTGCTGGATTTTACTACCACATGACCCCACCTGCAACGGTGGCTCTGCAACTGAATCTCAAACCCTAGAGAGGCTTCTGTTTGATTTACAGCTCATTACACACAGTCAGACCTGCCTCACCCCCTCATATGGACCGATAAAGCTCCACTGACAGCTGCGGCTGGTACATTTAAAAGCAGGGAGGAACTGAAACTCAGCTGTCAGCAGAAACCCTCATTGCTCTAAACTGACGAGCAGCCTTTCCGCTTCAATTTTTGTTTTTACTTTAAATGAATCCTGCACAGTGTCGTGGCCATATTCAGTCTGCTGAGCAGGCACTTCTCACGCTGTGCTCGTGAACATTGCATTGTGTTGGTTTTAATTCAATTTAGTTTCTCACTCTCCTACATGCCCTGAGTCCATCCCTCTCGTGTCTATGGGAGATGGTGTGTGATTAATTATGTAGGAAAAGGTAAAGGAGCTGTTAAGTCAGGAGAGGAAATCAAGCAGTGTAGTAGAAAATAGGACTGAATCAACCCCCTCTTAATATCAGCACCTACTCCCTCTTTAATAAAAGAGGACACTAAAAATGCTTCTGCAGTCAGTGTGACTTAATGGTTACAGTACAATGGTTAAAACTTAATTTGTGTTATTTTATTTTCTAGCTAATATATATATATATATATATATATATA